AGTATTATTATTGGATGATAATTATTATAGTCTGTTTGGCTGCCTTTCTTATGAATTGGCCTTACTATACCCGTCTTTAGGTCATGGTGGTAAGCGCCCTGTTTTACTGATGCGTTAATGAAATGAGCAATTATGTCTGCTATATCGGTAGTCATTGTTTTTAAATCCTGTGGTCTAATGACATCTATTGACATCTAATGACATCAATGGTGCTTTATGGTTACTTAGTGATTTGATTTCATTTAAAATTATTTTGGAGTTCATTGGTCGGTAGCTCAAAGTTACGTTGGATGAAGTAGCATAGGAATTTTTATCCAAGATTTGTACTTTACATTTTTGAATAGTATTCTTGATACTATTAGAAAAGGTTGTAGCAAAACTATTTTGCTTTATTTTTAATGGTATTGCTATTGTTAGAAAAACCATTTAAAATTAAGCGATCAGCAAGCTTTAGCTCTGCCCGTTATTCCATTAAATAATTTCCAAATTTCTCTAGGATTGGTATTAGAATTTTCTAGCTTTTTTTAATTATGTTATTTTTACTTGTGTTAATTAGTTTATAATATAATTATAATTTCTAGCACAATTATATCGATGTTTTAATAACATGTTTGAAGTGTCACAAATCCATTTTTTTTATAGTTTGTCCCTATATTTACAAGGTTTTATAATTTTATTATTAATCCAATTATTATTATATTTTTCTATGTTTTTAGATATTTTAACTTTTATTTGAGATTCATTATAACATCTTTTTATATTATTTACTATTAGTTCATATACTTTATGAGGATTCATACTTTGTTTCAGTGGTTTCCAGTCTATTGTTTTAAAACTGATTATAAGTATGTTTTTGTCGTATCGAGTGATGTATTTCTTATTCACCCGTGTGTTTTCATAATTGTTCCTAGTATTTACAACAGCAAGTGCTAGAGTCGGCTAAAATAGTGCCTAGCACCGCTGTGTACAGGTTTAGTGTGCGGGATCGCGCATATATATGGTCTATACAAGATTTACTTATTCGATCATTTGTTACATCTGTACGTGTATATTCAGTGATTCTGCACGTCAAGCCATTTTCATACATAGTGGTGTTGTAAATATGTTTTATAGGACGTTCCGTCCGCATGTCGATGTTTATGTTACCCAGCAAGTATAAGTCAATCTGACTGTTGATAGTTTTCAGCAATGAGTTTATTTCTTTTAAAACAAATTCTTACTGTAATTTGACGGGCGGTAAATACAACATAAATTTGCTGAATAATCAGAAGGAGTCGTTAGCAGTCCTAGAATACTTTCGCAGTGTTGCATTTTACAGCTGTTCAATTTAAATTTATGGTCATTTTTAATGTATAATATTATACCTCCTCCTCTTTTATTATTACGTAATTAAGGATACATTCTATAGCTTTTTATCTGACACATGTCACACAAATCGCTATTTATATTAACTTCTGTTAACATGACAACCTCAATTGCTTTATTAGAGAAAGAGATTTTTATAATCGATCTTATGTTCATATGTATACATAATAATTGTAAATGATTAGGAATGTAAGTTACAAATGTTTTAAGGTCTATACAATCTTTGATTTGTGTTATATCTTCTAATGAAATATTAATTTATTAATACTTTAATGTATAGATAAGTATATTATCAAAATTATTAATAATCTTTAGACTAACGATGAACGGATTTTCGAATTAGATAAGGCCTTAACATTTTTGACATCGTCTTGGGACCGGATAATATAAGTTTTTTGTTTTTCTTCATTTTTCACGTACTCGTAGAACCTTTCTTAATCCATATGTATCTGTACTGGTCTTTGAGTTCCTGCTTTGTGTAATATAATAGTTGTTTATTGTATTGTGTTAGAGCTTCGCATATAAATAAAGTTTTATTCGTTTCAATAGATCCTCAACCATTGTCAGTGACTTGGATTTTGGAGCCTTTCGTTTTACGTTTAATTTAGCTACTGTAAGTGTTAGTTTTTTATATAATTAACGTTTCCTAAGTATTTTAAAAATCTTATGAACCACGAAATATAAATTAAATTTTTATATTATGTATAATTATAAAAGTACTTATCTAATGTAGTTCAGTAAATATCCTTCTTACGCAAAGAGCAGTTTATTCTAAACAGAGCTTTTCCTGTTGAATAGAATGTAGTTGCTGCATGAGATGCTGTAAAATAAAATCAGAAAGCATTTTAGTTTTATGTTATAGCTTAATCTAACTCCTTTTATTATATACGTAAATATTTCAATCTTATTTCTGATTTCTGGCCTTAAATAATATCTGCCATGTACTACTAATTATTTATATAAAAAAACGTAAAAATTTAGGAAATAAATTATAAATTAAACAGTCAGATAATACTTGACGATATAATTTATATGAAAAAATAATTGAAATGAAATTACATTAAGTAAATAGTTATGTAATAAACTAACATTCCAAATACATACACATTTCAGTGCCTTGTGAGGAAGACTTAAATAAATATTTTCAGAAGCAACGAAATCAACAGCATGACTTCTGTAGCAGCGCAATCCAATCATATTATGTAAAACTAGAAAACAAGAAAAGTAAAATTACAGTCAACGAATGAATTATAATCTAATTTTAACCTAGATGTAACATCTTTAGTATAAATATTAAAATTTATGAAAATGTATGAATGTTTGCTATCCTACATTCAAAAGCTAGGGAACGAAATTTTCTTTTATATACTTAATACTAAAGTCCAAGCGGAGGAAGCTGCAACAGAATCTAGTACGTTATAAATGTATACAAAAACAGTGTTATCGATAAATCATTTTACTACATGTTACGAGCATGTTGAAATTCATTTAAGTTAAATTATTTATTTTATTTTTAATCATTATAAAGGCTTGTTTGATTTCGTAAATTGAAATAAATTAAAAAGTGGAAGATACGTAAAAGAATTCAAAAAACAAGCAGGTTTCCTGACTCTTAAATAAAAAGTCCATATTTTTACGTCTATACAATTTTAGATATGTAGATAAAAAGACTACTTTGATTTTCATTGCACCGAGAAATATACTAGAATTATTGAATCCTTAAATAAGTTTCTCATGTCATTTTAATTGTGGAGAAGTAACGTGTTGTCACATCGTTGCGCTCCAATGAACATTTTAATGAAACTTTGTAGTTATATATTTGTAGCGAGCAAAATTCTAACTCGGGTTAATAGCTTTCTGTTTTAATAACTATAACAACTGAATACATTTTGGTTTTGTATGGATACTGAATGATAACACAATAAAATGATATTAAATATATAGATTTCAACGGCTACAATTCAAAAATTTTAGTAGAATGACAAAAATGATGTTATTAGAAATCGATTGAGCTGAGTAATACAAAAATATCAATATTATTTTTGGAGATCGTCACATCTGCTTCATGTAATTTTGGTGCAATGCACATATGTACATACATTCGTTTTATTAAAAATATGTTGAAATTTTATAGTTGGACTGATAAATCATTTTACAAAACTGAAAAGTGAAATGTGATTATCAGCTTGAAGGTGTTAACAAGGCTTATGAAACTATCTTAAATTTTATTCTAGTAGTATATAAATTTGTATACGAGGAAACAAACTTTAAATAAATTATGGTTTATATAACATATCTAACGGAAATTACCACTTTTTACAGAGATTTTTATCTTTAGTAAAAAACATGGAATATATTGGTCACTTACAAAGTTTTATTTGATCCAAGTAACCGTTATAAATAGAAATACTTAAAAATTTAAAAATTCTTTCATTATCTTTAAATTATTTAAGTTTTTCTGTTACAATAGTTCAATATTAATTCGAATATTACATTCTGATTCTATAAAATAAAATATAATTTTAATATATTTGATTAAAACATATGCAGTTGAAGAGTAATCCCTGAACTTGGCTCTATAAAAAACAAATTACACAATATGATTTTATTCTTAATTACTTTTAAAGATCAAATAGACTAGATAATAAATTTAGATATCATATTTTGCTTAAGCTTTTAGAATTAAAAAAACTACATTATTGTGGTTATTCTAAGAACGACCTCAGGTCAGATTAGAAATCTACAAATAATTTATCTATGAAAATAAAATTAACTTATTCTGTTTTTTGTATGCCAAAGTAAAATCTAAAGCATATTTGATTACAGAATGCAACGCCTAGTAAAAGCTGGGTATAAATTTCCGGTCCTCTAATTGCCACGTTTATTTTGATAAATGGGATACTTTAATTTCTTTTCGATAAATCATGAAATATATAATAAATTAGAAAATTCAGTTTCATAAACAATTTCAATATAAATAGGGTTATGATAGTCTATTTCGGATTTTATTATTTTTATAAGCTTGGTTTTTTCTTAATAGTAGATTAAAATCATATTTTAAATATAATTTACTGATAATCGATTTTACTTCTGAACTAAGTACAAAAGAAAGGTAAATCTAAATGAACATTTAATATTGATTTAGTCTTTAAATTCACATTTGACAAATTAGGGGAACACGGGGTAATGAGAGCGGTCGGGCAATGAGAGCTACGGTGATTGAACGGAATGTAGGCACGTTTGCGCGATCGTAAGCACTCGGCTGCCTTCGTCAACACTCGGTAAACTTCACTTGACGCGCTCGAACCGTTAGTGCCATTCGTTTAGTCACGAGAGACGGTTGAGTGTTCTTCGCTTCACGCTTACAAAAAATTGCCGATTGCCAGCATCAAGGTAAGCATGAAATTATATTCTTATTTTATTGTATTTATGCTTATTATATCCCTAGATTCATTTACTATTAAGTCTAATTAGTTGGATTGCGATTGAGAATAGAATTACATATATATATTATTACTTTTCAAAATGGTGGTCGGCGGCTAATGGTAGCCTAGCTAGGCTCTCATTACCCGACATAGCTACCATTACCCCGTAGTAGTTATTAATGAAATGCCTTGGTTTTTTTTTGTTTTTAGATGCCACGTAAAAGGACTCGTACAACCACAAAAGCTTCTTGGACAGTGGATTCATTAGAAAATGCAGTATCTGTCCTCAAAAGAGGAGGCATTTCGGTGTACAAAGTATCTCAACAAACAGGTATTCCTTACAGCACTCTAAAGAAGAGGTACAATTTAGCGAAAGCTGGCGGTAGTAGCTACAAACACTCTCCTAAGCTGGGAAGATCCACTGTATTTAACGTTGCCCAAGAAGAAATACTGGCTAACCATCTTCGGACTATGTCTAATAAATTTTATGGTTTAACAAGAGAACAGTTTCGCAAAGTATGTTACAGTGTAGCTAAACAACTAGGTATTGAGAAACGATTTAACCAAGACAATCAAACTGCAGGAAAAGATTGGCTGGCTGGATTTTTGCAGCGTCATCCAGACTTAAGTATTAGAAAGCCTGAAGCCATCAGTATTAACCGAATTCTCGGATTTAACAAGACTGAGATAACGCTTTTTTTTCAATAACTTGGAAAAATTGATGGAGCAACATAGATTTGAACCTCAAATGATTTACAATGTAGACGAGACTGGTATAACGACTGTCCAAGAGACTGAAAAAATTATAGCTCCCAAAGGACAAAAACGTGTCGGGTCTGTAACGTCATGGGAAAGAGGTAAGACAGTCACAGTAATATGTGCTATGAGTGCAGCTGGATCTTTCGTTCCTCCGCTTTTCATATTTCCCCGGCAACGTCACTCACCACAGCTGGAAAAAGATGGACCAGTGGGAGCCGTTTATACATGTTCACATAATGGCTGGACTAACGAAAAGATATTTGTTTTATGGCTTCATCATTTTATTAAACATGCCAAACCTGCTGCTGAAACACCCGTATTGCTAATATTGGATAATCACAATAGTCATGCTACTCTCGAAGCTTGGGAATTGGCAAAAGAGAACCATGTCATAATGCTAACCATTCCTCCACATTCATCTCACCGTCTACAACCCCTTGACGTTGCATTTTATTCCCCACTTAAAAGAGCTTATAACAAAGAGTGCAACTTGTATATAAAATCAAGAAATTTGATAAAAATTACTCCATACGACATTGCTGGACTGTTTAATAAAGCTTATACTAGAGTTGCTTCTATAGAAAAAGGAGTATCGAGCTTTAAAGCTACAGGTATATTCCCTATGAATCCTGGAGTTTTTTGTGATGATGACTTCATTAATGAGGAATCCAGATCAGCTGTGCCTGAGGCTGACGCTCAACAGCAGCCAACTAGTGTCACTCCTATTCCATCAACATCAAATCAGGCTGAGCAACCACATGCTAGCCCTGCAACAAGTCCATCTATTTTTTGTGATCTGCAAATTGAAACGGAAATTATTCAAAGGGAAGCTGCTGTAACTCCAGTTTCTATTCCATCGACATCATCACACACTATCAGACCTATCGCAACTCCGCCCAATATTGACTTTGCTAATGTTGTCTCCATTGTCAGCCCACTGCCCCAACAACTCATCTCTCAAAAACAAAAACCGTTGAAGAACAAACAGCATTCTGAAATAATAACAAGCACTCCAATGAAAGCAGTATTTGAAGAAAAGAAGAGAAAAAGAACTGAAAAGGAGAATAAGATAAAGACAATTAAGAAAAATAAAGGAAACTGTGATAAAGAAAATTGTGTCAAGGGAAAATGTGCCAAAGGAAAATGTATTAAGAAGAAACATACCAAAGATAAAGAGATTAAAAGCAAGAAGACTACAACCAGAAACACAAGGATCAGAAAGGCAACAAAATATTTGTTTAAAAGTGATGATGAAAACTCATCTCTTGACCAAATCGACGAAAATGCTATCTGCGATGATGAGTCAGAATATTCTGAAGAGGAGAATTTATGTGCAATTTGTTTAGATCTTGGAAAAAATGGAGAGATGTGGTACCGATGCAGAAGTTGCGGAAACTGGGCCCACAAAGAGTGTACTGGTAGTGATAGTCCAGATACTTATATTTGTGCATTTTGTTTGGATCCGTAAATCAGGATCATTTGTTTTCCATTAATAATTTCATATTTTATCTCCGTTTTGTTTGAATTTGTTTTCATTTTAATTTGTGTTACAAATAGTTTCATTTTATTAATAATTATAATAACTAAGATCTCATTTATAGTGCGTTTTGTTAATTTTTTTTTAAGAGTAATTATAATGGCTCCCATTTCCCATATGATCGTTAAATGGGCTCTCATTAGCCGCATTCGTCGGGTAATAGGAGCGACTGACTTTTTTTGTAAAACTGTCATTGTACCCTAATACATGTCTGTAGTTGATTATAACTATAATTATTGTATTCTCTTATAATAAAGGTAAGAGTTTATAATAAAAAAATACAAGAATTTTGAGTAATGTGCTTTTTATTACAACTTTCCCTTAGTAGGCTCCCATTTCCCTGTTCTCCCCTACATTTTTTTAACAATTCAAGACCGCTTGTTAAATGCATACATATGTGAATAAAGATACATACACATATGATTTTGATTTTGAGATAAGAAAACACTTTTAAATTGTCCACCAAGCTGTTCCATTGCGAAATGTTAGGTTAAATATGTTATAATTCCTTCTGAAACGTGCATGATATCTCAGAATATTTTTATCCTCAACAGATAATTAACATTTCTTTTCTGTGTGAAAATCAAGTTATGGTTTAATATTTATTAATTGAACTATTTAATTTTAGAGGATGAGTTGTTTAAATTCCACAAATTAATTAGTGAAGATTCGCACTTCATTTTTGAATTAAATTTTTGGGGGTAAGACTGTTATTCATATCAAAGATTATATTACATACTCTTATATAAAAAATGAAAAAAAATGATATAAAAACATTACTTTTACATTCCAAGAAATCAAAACTATTACTCTCGAGTTTTTAGATTTAACACAAGTTTCTATGTTCCACTACTTAGATCAGTATTGACGATGCATAATGTCCTAATTCAGTGGAAATTCGTCTTGGAGTTTGAAGTTGAAGCTTTCACGGGAAATTGGTTTACGTTCACTCGCTTGAACCGGATTTTGATCCATATTTTGCGTTGAAAATGTTAAAGATGCTAAATTAATAGTACCCCTTTTAACACTTAAAAGATTTTTAGACGTCCTTTAAGAGGAATCAGAAATTAGAATCTGATTAAAAATATGATGAGGTGATTTCGCATAATTTTAATTACAAGATTTTTTTGACAAATACAATGAACACTTTATTCTGAGCCGTCATCCACGACGTTTTTAATAAAATCTGAGTGTATTAATTATGAAATATCATATACTCTTTTATAGTAATTTTTAAAAATTTTAGAAGATATATGGACGTTTATTTAAATCATCAAGAGGTTTCTTTGCATGCAGACTTGAAAATACAGATTTCACTTTGTTGTCATCAGCCTATCAGAGCCCACTGCTGAGCAAGGCCTCTTTCTCACATGGAGAAGGTTTGAGCATTAATCACTACGCTTGCTCAAGACGAGTTGGTGATTTCAAACTTATAATTGTGAAACTATAAGTCCAGGTTTCCTCACGATGTTTTCCTTCACCGTATGTCAGCGATGTCCAAATATTCTCAGAAAGTACATATATGACTCCGAAAAATCACATTGGTACTTGCCAGGTTTGAACCCGCGCCCTCGGCAACGAGAGGCGGGCCCCTTAACCACAAGGCCACCACTGACTTTCACTTTACCAAAATTAAATTTTTAAAACGAATCTATTTCGGTTCCTTTCTAAAAACTCGATTTAACGAATACGTTACACCTTGGCTTCATTTCGCACAAAATCAATGATCAATCGTCTACTTATGTGCCTAAAGGAGCAGGAATTTATTGAGACTAAAACTTGTTAACAATTTTTTTTAAAAAATAAAGAGAAGTGAGGTACGATATTTAATTGTGCGCTAAATTATTACAATTGCGGGACAAAAAAGTACTGCATTCTGCAGATGCACATTACATCTAAAAGGTTGAATATGAAATCTTCTGCTGTAAACCTCGTTAACAGTAAACTCTTTTTATGTATATTCATACTATGTAACAGGACATATTGTTTAATAGGCATTTTTTATATTGACAATTTCGTCGGCAATATAAGTCTTTTTAAACTTATAAGGATGCCTATGTATATATGTCAACTGTATTTTGTTCTAGTTTTTGAAGTCACTCACTGATGTTTAGATTTAATCTAGGTTACTCTTTGTCTAGCTAAAGTTTGAAAGAATTCACTCTTTTCTAATTTCGATATTGAGAAGTGTCGGGTCGGAATGCTTGTAATGAACTGAATTGAAATTGTAATGAATTGTGAATTTCATATATATTTCATCATCATTAAAGTGTTGAAGTTGTGGTTCGTCACTTTTATATAGGGATAGTTTTGGGACGTATAAATACCTAAGGGTTTCCAAGAGAAATATTTTAAAGCTAAAAGAACTGTAAGTTCGTCAATTTTATTTTCAGTGTATTCAACAAACTAGGTTTTCGACGATCGACGACGTAGTCTTCTATAACTCCAGTTACCTCAGCGATCATATTACCTTCAAGCTATCAATATAACGTTAGAATTATAAATGATGTTACAAACTGTATTAGGAATATTGTAGCGGCGCATAACTTATTAAAATATGACTATACAGAAAGTTACTTAATATAATATAATTAATAATGAATAACAAACTGATGATAAAAACGTATAGCACCAGATAAATAAATTAAAATGATTCTTCGCCAATGTTCAAGAGATTCTAATATAAATATTTTTTTGTTTTGATGTAGTGTGTGTAACTTGGTAATTCGGATCGGTGAACTGGAATAAAATTCATTGAATGAAAGTACCAAATTGAATTATTAGTAACAATCTAAATTTATGTTATATACATATTTATAAGTAAGAATATATCAATAAGGTTTTCTTTCTGTGTTGACTGTAAAGTTTCATATGCTTTTAACATATTCGACATGTTTGGTAACACACAGAGACTATAATATGGTCTGTAAATATATATACAAAGATTTCAAGTACAAATTAAACTCAAAATTTAATTTAATTATATTTGAAAACGTAATCACGTTCAAGATCAGCTCAAATGAAACTAATATTTTCGGATTTTACTTCGCGTTTTATTTTAGAAACTACATACTCCCGACGTTTCGGCTACTTTTCAGCAACCGTGATCACGGGCAGACGAGATGTGAGTGTCTGTCAGTTGGTCTGGTCATTTTATCTCCTACCGCCATCGATTTCTTAATTGTCTTGCGTACCGCTCTGGATGCCGGCAAAATGCGCTCACGGTGTCTCGAGGTCCTGCGGTGTGGTCACGGACATAGGATTTTATATTTTTAAGAAGAGGATCCCAGGTGTTTGATAGGTTCCAGCCATCTTCTCTATTGAAATTGGGGTGTTTTTAAATTTCAATAGCCTCGCGGATTAACCTTGGTATATATCTGTCTTCACGAGCGAGGATATGTGGTTGATCAAATCTAATGTAATGGCCTGGTTTGTCCAATGCATGTTCGCACACTGCTGACTTCGACGCGCGCCTATTCCTGACCTCTGAAATATGTTCCTTAACCCTTGTACCGATGCTTCTCTTTGTCTGTCCGATGTATGACAAGCCACAGTCACAATCCAGTTTATATACACCCGCTTGTTGTAAAGGAATGTTACTCTTGATTGGTCTCAAGAATTGGCTCACTTTCTTATGTGGTTTATAAATAGTCTTAATTGAAACCTTCTTCAAGATGTTGCCTATTCTGTCAGTAACTCCCTTCACATATGGTAGAATTGCAGGTTGTCGCTCGACTGTAGGTGGCTTCGTCTGGTTCTTGCGATGCTGGCGAGGCACGGGCAGGCTGTTGATGGTCAGAGCACGTCTTACATGCTGCAGCTCGGCATCTAGGTGGTCAGCATCACAAAGGTGTTGTGCTCTCTGTAACAAAGATTTACCAACGGTAGCTAACTGTACAGGGTGGTGGTGTGATTTACCATTGAGATACCTATCCGTATGTGTGGGTTTCCTATAAACAGTATGTCCCAAAGTATTGTCAGGATTCCTGATGACCAGTATATCAAGGAAAGCTAAAGAATTATTTGCCTCTAATTCTATAGTAAACTGGATCTTATTATTGATAGAATTAAGATGGTTCAAGAAAGCAGATGTTTTGTTTTTATTTAATATTGTGAAAGTGTCATCTACATAGCGTTTATAAATTAAGGGTCTTATTGTAGGAGAGCTAAGGGCTCGCACCTCGAAGTTTTCCATGAATATATCTGCGACAACGGGGGAAACCGGCGAACCCATTGCTACTCCATCTACTTGTATGTAGAATTCATCCTTCCACATGAGATAGCCAGATGTTAGGCAATGCTTTAACAATTCTGCATATTCAATAGGCATCTTATTATCCTTTAACTTACCTCTTACAATCTCAATGCAGTCAAGAACAGGTAGATTAGTGAATAATGACTGTACATCGAAACTGACCATAATGTCATTGTCTGTCAATTTTAGGTGTTTAATGTCATTGACAAACTGGTAGGAATCCTTAACAAATGACTTTGTGTGGCCCCGGAGTGGTGATAATATCTTTGAAAGGAATTTAGCCAGTTTATAAGTTGGTGAATCAATCTGGCTTACAATTGGCCGTAATGGGACATCTTGTTTATGGATTTTAGGTAACCCATTCAATTTCGGTGGTTTTGAACACGATGGTACGAGTGATTTGATATCCAGATTGAGTTTAGAACCGTATTTATTAATTAATAATTTTGTTTCCCTTAAAACTTTACTGGTCGGGTCTTTGTTAACTTTTTTATAGACAGAATTATCCGAAAGAATGTCAGTTATTTTACTATCATAATCACTCGTATCCATTACTACGGTCGCGTTCCCTTTATCTGCACGGAGGACCGTCAGGTCTTCATTGTTGCGTAGGTTTTTAAGTGCAACTGATTCCTGACGAGAGATGTTTTGTCGAGGCAATTTACTCCGGCGCAGA